TATATATATATATAATCGCTAGAAAATACATTGTTACAAATAATAAAAAATCAAAACAACGAATAAGGAATAAACAGACACACGAATAACTAAATAAAAATCATAGAGACACTCCACAGACTTACATGTCCACAAAATAGTTAGTTACACACATTGTCACTTTTGTGCAACACTCATTAATTTCGAGAGCGAGTGTGTCTGTGCTGTCACTCACTCGAACACCGCTTAATTGAATATCCTTTGGAAGCAAATGTGGTATCCGGAAAATTATATCCGGTGCACTGAGGGGGGTAAACGTTTTTAAAAAATGGAAGAGCGATTTTTCCTAGATATATAGTTACAAATATTATCTCCTTTGTTTATTTTGGTTTCGTGTTTAGTGAAATTGCAGTTAACATAATTCTTATCATTATTGTTGTTGGAATTATTATCTTCATCATTGTCATCCCTAGTATTATTGTTTCTTTAATTAATGTTATTAGCATGATAGCTATAATTGTAAGTATGCTCATCACCATCAATAACATCCTTAAAGTAAAAAGATCTTTATCATCATCATTATTACTTATTTTAGTATTAGAAGCAGTAGCATCATTACTATTACTCAAATCATCATCAATATCATTGCTAATATCTTTATTATTTGTATCACTACCATTATCATTACTACAAAAATTATAATTTTCAATGTCATCATCAGTATCAAGTTTATAATCATGATTAATATGATGTATGTCATTATCATGTCATTAGTTTATCAACAATTATAATTTCTTCGTTAATGGTATAAAAGTGATAAAATTAAAACGACAATCATGATTATTATATATGTGTTATTTCCACACCACTGCTATCAATACCGCTATTGCTAGCATTTTTGCTATTCATGCTACTAATAGCACACTAATGCTCCTTATTATGCATACATATGTTTCACTCCACATGTGTCACTCCCATATTATGGCAAAAGGATACATATATTATATCTTCTTTGTTTGAGTTACGCCGTTAAAATATACATAAAAAATGGAAAAGACACACACAAAAAAGTGAAAAAAAATCCGAAAAAAAACATGCAACACCTGACAGCAATAAGTGTCTACGTGTGTCGCCCTATAATTACATCTATCCTTCTCTTACCCTTCTTCTTCCCCCGTCTCTTTATCTCTCTACTTTCTCCCCCCTTTTTTATAACAATCTCTGACCACGTTTTGCCCTTAATAGCTGTGTCTAATTCGGTAACATCCCGCGCACGTGTTGTCTGCGTCTCTCCTTCGCCTCCCTCACGTTACCATGTCTCTCGTGTTGACGTTTTTGTAAGCGCGCGTTCGGCTTGCATCTGGATCCGTTCGCATTTTTAGGACAGGTGTCGTTCTTTTAGCGTTTCCTTCTTTTTGTGTGTTTCGTTTCGGTTTTGTTATTATGATTATTGTGTGTTCCTGTATGTCTTTTTTTATTCTCTTTGTGGTAATTATGGGTATGCACGTTTATGGTTTATTTTTGAGAAATAGTAGACGATTTTTTGAATTTTCGTCGTATCTTTGCGAATATTTTGACCCCGTTGATATCTCTCTCCCTCCCCTTTCCTCCCCCCTTTCCTCCTTCCCCCTTCCCCCTGCCCTACCAGCATGATGACGAAGAAGACGAAGAAAGGGAGAGAGGAGGAAAGGGAGAAGAGAAGGAGAATAGGAGATAGTAATATCCTCCACCTTCTTTTCCTCGTTATCATCGTCCCCCTCCCCTCGCCTATCTACCGTCTCCTCGTCTCCTGTCTTTGTTTTCCCCCGTTGTGTGCCCCGGCGTCGCCCAGCGGGGGGTGGAGGGACCCGAGGAAACCCGATGCGGGCGTACCGAGGGCGGCGGCGACGTGGTGGCGGGGGGCGTGAGTGTCTCAGGACCTCTCGGGCGGAAGTGCAGGAATGTGCCACCCGCCAATCCCCTCCCTTCTCACTCCTTTCCTTCTCTCTCCTCTTTTTGCTCTCTCTCTCTCTCTCTCTGGCCTTCTCTTCCCTGTCTCCTTCCTTCTCATCTCTATCTCTTTCTTCTTCTTTTTCTCTCCTC